ATGGGGCAGCTTGCATGGAGTTGTGCGTCATGCGCCGTCCCGAAAAAGCCGATTTAAGCAGCCATTTTCGCTTGGTACTCTGCTGGGTGAGTCGTTTCCTGATTTTCTCCGGACGATCAGTATGGTTTATTGGTTGAGTAATATTTTTGAATGCATGAACCTTCGATGAACTTACGAGATAAATGGCACTTGTAAACGACATTTACGATCGGATACGTTTTATAATAGAGTCAAATCAGACAATATGACAGTTTGAATAATAATTTATTCAACCTAGTTCTCTAGGTAATATAGGGGCAGATAGTTGGATTTTACAACAATGAGATGAATGGGCCTCATGATGCCACTTAATTTCACTTAGCCTTCCCTTCCAAAACACTATCCCATCCGGGGTGGACCACAGTTTCGGCCTCGTCCCCAATCATATTTGCTACCGGTTTATGAACATCGTGGCGACACGATAAAACTGCGCTGCTCGGCCATTAGTGCCAGAGGATAATAGGGCAGACGTATCATTCAAGGCAAGCCAAGCCTCTCGGCAACCTGCCTTTCGGCCTTGATAACATTGTCTTAAGCCTGAACATTATGCTAGATTTCTGATTTATTAGGTGGAATTTGATGAATATATTGAGACTTATAAGAACGTAGTTGCATTAATAATCGGGTACTACTTTAAGATATTTCAATGGTCAAAGACGTTCCAATTAACATAAGGCTTAAATGAGGATTGATGAGCATTACCATGCTCTTAAACATCGACTTCGCGCATACTTCTGGCGTCATCTGGCCAGATAAATTTAACTTATTCGCTCAACATTACGAAAAAAAGACACCAGAAGTAGCTCTTGTTTCGATTTACGGATGGTCAAGAAGACCCATTAGTTTTGATCTAAACGATCTCCATGAGGTATTAGGGATCGAATCTATCAACTTCAAGCTTTGCACCTTGATTACTTTAGTTTGATCTGAAGTATGACTCCCCCTGATGTGGGTAATTTAGATGCCGGCCGATCCTCTTGTTAGTTACTTAGTTTGAGGTCTAACCTCATGAGGTATAACCATAAGAATGCAGTATCACGATTAACTTGATAAAACGAGATCAATATAACTCAATATAATAATATATCACTACTACTTAAATTTATAATAATAATATAATGATAACTTGATATTTTATTTATCCTTAAACTCCACTTCTTTGTGGTCGTTTGTTTGAGCCTTATTTGTTCACTCCTGAAGCCCGACTAATTATTTTCCTTTCACTTACGTTAATGCCATTCTATAGTTACTCTACAAGCATACATAACTTGTACTGCTTTTATGCTCATAACTACTTTGCCTTCAAGTGCTACTCTGTGATCTCAAATAAGTTATCCTCTTTCTTTTCGTCAAAATATCAACACTATATGCGTTTTAAATATACACATATTCTCCTAGTAATACGAGCCCCAAAATATTTGACTTTATACTTTTCATGACTTTACTTTTTTAAGTTTTTAGTCTACCCTATTCTTCTGATTCCGCATGTCATTTTCCTATACTTTCTATTCACAGCTTCGGCATTCCAGCGGCATTGACAAAAGCAAACTTGGTCTTTCTGCCACTAGTCAAGCGCATCCTGCTTCATGTCTGGTTTCAACTAGTGCTACTATGGCCTCCAGACTGAAGGCGAGTTCGACTTTTTCGCGCACTGATACAGTTAGCAAATTCCTGTGCCGCAGTGACACCCAGGACTTGGCTTGGACACATCATCTCGCCTCTGGGCAGTATGCATCTGCTGGAGTCACGCTTTTCGCCGAGGGGTTGCGCGAAACTCGCCTTATCGGCCGCAGAAAGACTCTGCTTTCTCTCTCAAAGCTGGCTCAGCTTGCGGCAAATGCTGCTCCACCTAGCGCCTCAGCTTCCTCTGCAGCCAACTGTCTTGACAACACCATGAGCACTTTCTCCGAGTCTGATCTGCCTGTAGAGCTGACCGATATTCACTATCTGACGGATAAATTACTTGAAGTTATCTCCGCTCAGGTATCTTTATATCTCCTCAGATCAGTTCCAACAAATAGTTGCTTATTTGTTTCGCTCATCTAGCTATAATAAAGTGATTAATACTTTCGAAATCCTAGTAGGTCAGCCGTCAATCAATTTAGCATCATTTAGACGCGGAATTTTTCGTTGTGCTGCCTGGGAGCAACCACATTTGGATTTGGACTGCTATCATTTTTGGAGGAGAAGATCTCCATTTTAATCGAATTTATTATTCTCTATCCCCGATAAATATGGACTATTTTTCTAGCTAAATAAATCACATTAGGCTGTATTTTAGTATGCCTGACTGATGATAGATTCATTTGTCTCCTGTCTCACAACACTTTATATTCAGTAAAGCCTATAGGGTTTAAGTATCGAATCAGGCTTGCCTCAATTGCGAAGAAATCACATGATATATTTTAGTAGCTTTTGCATTCAAAAGTTTCATTCGAGAGGGGTCAAAAGTGTCTAATACTGGACCAGTGGTTCCGAAACTTTTCCTAGTCGCGGCGCCCTTTTTCAATTAAAAT